AACTTATTACCTTTGATCACCCAACACTGGAATGCTGTGCATAATCAACACTTCCTTCCCCCAGGCTACATAAACAATCGGATACCCACACATGACACCGCATAACAGTCCATTTATTTTAATTATTATTGCTATTATTGTCGTGCTGACCAACTAAACAACAATGAGAGAAAGTACTTCTGCATATATATGTTAGATATATATATATATATAAATGCCAGTACATGAACGTAAATAACCCGGAGTGGAAGCTGGCGAGGAGTCTGCGATAAATAAAACTGCAAAGCATAAAATCTAAACAACTGAAATGAATGTTGCCAGGCAACTGAAATGGCAACAACAGAGAATGCCAACGGAACGGCAAGAACAAGCAAACAAATAATTTCATGTCACACAATGATGAAAGTTTTGTAATGTTTGATGTTCCTCCAGGATCCTCTATCCCCATATATATATCTCTGCCCCTGCCCTGCTGCCCGCTGCCTGCTGCTTGCACTTGCAGAAAATTAAGCAATTTAATTTAATAGGCACGAGAGGGAAGAGCGGTGCTATACGGAACTGGAACTGCAACTGGAACTGGAGCATATCCTCGGCGCACTCTGCTGCTCCTGCTGTTGCAGGACAATAATTCAACACGTATTTAAATGCATATCCTCCGCCCTTTCCTCCCTCAAACACTACCAACTGTCTTGCAAATGAAAATTTACTGTGCATGTTGCCCCTGCCAGTACCAGAACCAGAAATATATCCAAAGCCAGAGACACAACCGGAATCACAGACAGAAGAAGAAAGAAAATGTGACTTGGGATAAGGTATACAGGAATACCCTTAAATAATAATATATAGTAATAAGAATATCATAGGATATATAGCCTTGCATTATATTGCCTTGATTTTTTCATTTTTAACCTTATATGATTTGCCATGTTGAGCAAGAACTTTGATTTTTACTGATGGAAGTCATCTTTATCTTGCTTTTCTGATTAGAAATAATTCCTATAATGACATATAATTCTTTATATATATTTATTCACCTTTTGTAAAAAGTTAGAAGTTAAAACTACAAACTTATCCACCAAAACATAATACCCTTTGCAAACATAAACCATAGACCGACTTCTACTTTCCCATCCTGAAATATTGTTTGTGCCAGTTCTGCATGTGAGAGTGTGAATGTGTAGAGAGGGTTTGGAAAAAGTTTGGCCAACATTCTGGGAACTGAACTACAATTGCAGGCAAAGCGGCCAATCGAAAAGCTAAATCAAAAATGTTTGCCAGCTAGTCCGACTCTAAGCAACTAATTTCAGCTTAACCCAGTTTGGCCGCATTTCCAAAGCAATTACCGTAGTCGAGGCTTGATCTCTGATTTATGAGACCGACGACGACTGGCGCAACAATGCCCAAACAGCCTTTTTTGTCATTTAATGCAAGTGGAGATGATAAATTATTGCAAACAATTCGGGTTGGCGGTGGGCTGGTTGGTCTATTGGGATATTGGTTGGCCTGTCAACGGGGCGGAAATCAGGCAACATCCGCTCCATAAACGGATGTCCGGTTCGTTCGCACGTTCACGCTGTGCTGTGTCAGAGGTCCTGGAAATCGCCCGGGGAATAAGCAACTTTAATTTCGGTTACTCTCCAAGCTCCGCGAATGCCCGTTCTCTGTGCTCTGTTAAATGAAGTGAGAGATGAGCAGCAGATGAAGGCTTAAAGAGAAGCCTTTTGTTGGCTTTTAATTAAATGCAATATGAAATGTGAAATTAAATTAAAAATATTTACTGATCGATTGCAGTAGATTTTTTGAGTAAAGTAGAAAAATAACTTTTCTTAAGCTTGTATTAAAAACTCTTAAAGTTAATCTGCAAATTTCTTAACAATAATTCCCTTTTCCTGGTATTCCTATAGCATACTTTTAGGCACCATTTATAATGACTTAACATCACTTCAGATTTGTCTTTCAGCACAATTTGAAATAACCAGTTATGTAAAAGGGAAAAGGTTAAAAAAATTGCAAAAACCAACCCAAAAGGGTTTTCTTTCACAGAATAAAATATGTGAAGCAACGCCATTCCCTTGCTTATTTGCACTTAAAGCAGGGAAACCGCCTGTGTGTCACCCTCGCATGTCTAATTCAATTCCATTGCGATTCCTATTAAGCCCAGGATCCTTGAGACGCCCATCGAAGTCACTATTCATTCAGCCAGAATGGTTGGCAAGGGGAAAACGCTCACTTCCCCCCCTTTTTTTTTCCACCCGGCCAAATGGCAAACAAGCGCAAATCGAGATTGCCGAAAGACGAGACGAAACAGGACACAGAATCGTCTGAGTTATTACGCAAATTTAGCATCTGAATAGAAAATCGAATATTTCAAGTGGCTGGTAATGACATTTCAGCTTCTTCAGCATCTCAGCGAAGCTGTGAGTTGTCAGTCGTCTTTCAGCATTTTTGAGGTAAGCTTCGGCTGGGCTGTGGTAATTGAAGCTGGCATGTGATTTATTAACTCAATAATGGCACAGATAGCTCAGCATCGTCATACCCAAGCCCACGGCCACTGTGTTCGTTAATGCCAAGAAAAATTGATGCAAATTTTCACCGAATTCCGGCTCACACCCCGAATAACGAAAATTCCACTTAAATTCCGCGCATAATTCGATTTGCATTCAAAGAGGGAAATAAGCAAATTTGTATTAATCGAAATGTATTCAACTCGAAGGAGGACAGGCCGCGAGCATATGCCTTTGGGCTGGGATTCGATTCTTTTGTGGTTCGTTTTTGGGTTTGGTGATGTAATTGAAATATTCCACTAAGGGTGGTTGACAGACTAAGACTGTCCCCAAAGCTAAGTACATAGGAAGAAATAACTCAGTTACACTGCCAGAAAGGGGGTTTACTTTGGACTCAAACAATGTCTCATCTTACCAGAAGACTATTATCTTAATTTAGATGTAAAATCAAGTCTTGTTTTTCTTTGCAAACCATATAAGTTCCCTTTGACTATAAGATTTCCTTTGCATTTGTTAACTACTCCCTCCTCTGTGCCGATTAGCATGGAGAATCCCTTCATCTGGACGACAATAATTTATGGATCCTTTGGCGCTTTGTTTTCTTTGTCACTGCCATTGGACAATTACGCAATAAGCTTTCAGCTTTCTCCCAGATTTGCTGTCTATCTCGGGTTAATTATTTCTTAATGCCCGTCTGGGAGAGGCAAAAACATTTCCGCTTCCGCTGTCAGCCGTCGCCATCATCAATCTATATAAATATATATATATATTTATAGAAGTACTGTTAAGGCCAAGGAAAAGCCTCCAATCCCCCTTGGCATTTCCTGAGCCTTTGTCCAATATTTCAAATGGAAAGGCTTTTAAGTAGCTGTTGGCATTTTCGATTTAGGACAACCAACATGTTCCCACTGCCTCTATATTGTATTAGCTGCAATAACAACCATAACTAAGCACTTCCCCGAACTCGAACACTGAACTTCAAAGGGAGGGGTTGGTGGCTGGCAGGATGGCAGGACCAACTAGGACAATTGGTTTGCATTACCAACAACGAAATCTCCGGTTGCCTGCACTTGGGCAAACAAATTACAAATAATTACATGGGAAAGGCCACGGCACAGGTGAAACTGTGTAGTTCCCCTTGGTTTCCCCTGAATCACCTGAACACTAACTGCAGGTGTAAACTGGCCCACTTTGTTGCATGTGTCGTTTGTTGTTAACGTCTGTGGTTCCACCTCCTCTCCTTTCGAACATCATCCTCCTTTTCCTGATGATGATGATGATGATGGTGATTGTTGCTGTGGCTAACTGGAACTGACTAACTGTCTCATTGGTTAAAAGGCCTTGGTCCTTCCCTGCTGTTTCCCCTTTGGAAGCTCCGTCATCAGCAGCTTCAAAACTCGAACTGGGACTGGGAGCCATCTAATCAGAAATGCAATTATAAGGGCAAATGACATTGCCTTCGCTCGGAGTGAAATGGAGAAGTCTTTGCAGAGGAAAGTATTATCATACTGAGATTACAAATCAAATATAACTCAGATTCAGAGCATATATCATAAGTTATATAAAGAATTCCGATTCAAAGTTCATATTCAATTTCCTTTGATTGTTGATCCTTAGAAGTTCCTTTAAGTTCCAGCGATTCGAGTGCGAGTTTAATGTCCTAGTGTGTACCACATTTGCATTGTCTTCGTTTGTTTGCGCGATGATGGCGACAGTACTGCTGTCTCCTTGTTGGGCCATTGTCCGGATTCCGGACTACGGACTCATTGTTGGCCCTTTGTTTTTGCGCCTCGCGTGTCTAATAAAAGCGCATCACAATGTGGGTCATTGTACGACTACACAGGCCGGTCGACATCATATGGCTTTGCATTTGTCAGCAGCATGCAACTGCTGCAACATCAACACATAAAGCGCTGCTAATTGCAAATACACACACATGCACATGCAGATGCAGACAATCGGCAAGTTGCAGGCACAGAGCAAATTTTGTACATTTTGAGGTTTAAGATTTAAAAACTAGTTTTTTCTTATAAAAATGAGCAAGTTAAAGTAAATTAAATAACATTAAATATATATTTACATCTTTAAACCTAAATAATTTCTGAAATATTTGTTTTTTTCAGTGTCTTCCTTCTTTAGCCTCTTCGGCTGCCCCATAAGTCTGTTTCAGCTGCAAAAGGAAAAGAGCAGACAAAGTCTATGGAGGTCTATGGAAGTGTGTCAGCCATGGTAAATCGATATGGAATCCTGAATAATTAATTCTTAGATTATTTGTGATATTTTCAAAGATTTCCCTACAAATAAATTTCTAAGTCACATAGTTTTAGGCAGCTGTGATCAATCTAGCTCAGTCTAGCTCGAAAAGTAGGCAACAAAATACTGCAAAACGAGTTGCACGGTTACGTAGATAAAATGTAAACAATGTAAAGTGTAAATTTCCGTTTCAGCTTCTTAGAAATAATAATTTTTAAAACATTTCCTTTTTATTTAGTTCTAAGCAATTTTAATATTTCAAACTTTGAAAATCTAGTGAATATATTAAATTCTGTTTCAACAGAAATGTATATAAACTAAATTTCACTTTTGAAATAAATATGCGCTAGCATCTTCCTCCCCATGCGGGACCCAGATTTAGACGACACCACTTATCACCTGAAAGACCAATAGATAAGTGCCTGACAATCTAGATTAAATGATGAACAACTTACGAGGATTGGGACTTGGAATTGGGAATCGTGGACGTTCCCAAGGTTTCTTTTGCGATTGCCACGGCCATTCCCAGGAATAGGCTAATCCAACCAAGCAAACAAGGACCAAGAGTAGTGCCACAGTCTTCATTTCTGTGCTGAACTCCAAGGAAAGCGACTATTTATAGAGCTAACTACTTGTCAACGGCGGCTAAAGGATTTGGCAAGGCTATAATAGGATTACCAATGAATTTGTCACACTTCTTATATTAAATAAATAACCTTTGACCTTTGCATAGTATTTGTATTGCATACATTTATTAGATCTAAGGTTTAATAACACCCTATCAGAACTTATTTCAATTTAGCAGTTTAAAAAGCTTGAAAAATATACTTAAATAAATTCATATTTAGTTAATACGTTATATAACCTTAACGATTGGTATCAGTAATGGTAAATACTAAATACATAAAATATGTCAAGGTCCCTTAATGTCTCGTTAAAACCACGTAATCCAGAAATTAGAGATTTTCTTATCCATTCCGTACTCCCTGTCAGTCCTAACCCAGAGCTAGGAGCCCCAGAAAATCACCATTCGATGACCACAATATGTCTTCTTTGTACGGGAACTGACATTAACAGGCGGGGGTAATCACCGCGCCTCAAGCCATGGAAATCATGGAGGCATGGTTGCAGTTGCAATGTTCGAATGGTCCGGCGGTAACCGCAGCTGTAAGAGTGAAAGGCCGGCAAAGAACTTGCAGCTGGTTTCTGGTCTGCTCTGGTCTTTGAATTGCTAACCTGATTCAACGAGCCCGAAAATCTATCACTTCCTCGGCCTCCCAACTTTTATAGCAGAATGTGGGCCTTTCTTTTCGCCACAATTTTGCCCACCGAAAAGGCTAAATAAAAAACTTGATTGACCAGCAGGAGTCGACCTTTTTTTTTGTATTGGAATACTTTCTAAAGGCTTTTCCATTGCCCGCCTTTGTTTTATTACAAATTGGTAATATGTCTCAAGAACGCCTATGGGAAAACTTGACTTGAATACGTCAAAGCTTGACAGCTTATCCTTCTAAATACCTTCTAAAATATAGATCGACCTCTCTAAGAGTTCACGTTCTTTGCACTTCCTTTAAAATAAAGTAAAGTTAAGTTTTCTATAATTTTTTATAATTTTTTAGAAGTTCTTTTATTAGGAACTTAAAGAAAATATTGAAATAAGGCCATGCCTAACGTACTTACTGTTTTTAAAAACTAAAATCAAAATATATATCCTTTGGTAAAGAGCCCATTTATTCGATTAAAAATTATTCTGCAGTTCAATAAATCTTCTAGAAAAATGAGCATCTGCGTTCTTTCTGGTTTCATAATGAATACAATTGTTGTTGATCTTAAGTAAAATATTTTAAGTTAAGGCGTGAAAAATGTAATGCGTCTTTTCAGTTTCAATGATATAGTAAGTCTCAGCTATAAAAGGGGTGTTAGTGCAGCTTCGGAGTCCAATAATAATGAATCCAAAGATATTGCTATTAGTCGTTATTCTTAGCATGCTCGGAATGGGCCAGTCTCAAAGGAAGAAGATTGAGGTTTGGATAAGGCCAAAGCAGAACCCCGATTATTTCGGAGGATACCCACCACCATATTAAGAACCCTCCGTGCCATATCCTGGATGAAACCCAAGATTAATCCGTTACAGGATATTCCTTGAAGCTATTTAACGCGATTTTTAAATGAAACCAGAGGGGCACGAATGATTTATAAAATATTGTGCAAACAAAAATAAAATAAAATATGTTATACAATTTCGTTTTATTATTTAACATGCAGGTTATTAGGAATTTAACGTTAGAATAATTTTCTAGTATTTACAAAGTTTTGCGAAGGACATAAACAAACTTTAACGCTTACAAGCCAGGAAAACAAAAATGTGAAAATCTTAAGTTTTTCAGAAACTATTGAAAAATAAGCTAAGGATTGTCTCAGCAGCCCCTCTACGGCCACTAAACCTGCTTTAAGGTTTCTATAATTAGTTTCCCATTCCTCCTGAGGACATTAATGTCACCATCAGCAACAGATGGCGCTAGTAACACTGTACATGGCGACAAATAGCTTGACAGTGTATTGGGTATCTGATAGTCGCAGCGGAGTAATACGAAAGCAAACAATTTGACATTTAAGGCAATCGATTTTACTCAATGCTAGAAAGCTAGAATATTTACAAGTTTTTTAAAAACATAAGCAATATTTTACGCCTTATCGAATTAAGTTATTTTCATGCTTTAATTCAACTTATATCGGCTATAAAAAGAGAAACGGTTTTCGTATTGTTTTAATAATGAAGTCTCTGGTATTGCTACTACTCGTCATCCTTTCCCTAGTTGGAATGGCGCCGGCCCAAAGGAAGAAAAGGGACCTGGAAATTTGGATTCGACCAGATAAGAACAACCCACCGCCAACACGAGAGTGTAACCCATGGGACCAATACTGTCGCCAATACCAAAAATAAAAATGATAAAAAAAAGTTGAGAAATACAATTTTTTAAATTGAATTTTGAATTTTTTTTATTTATAATTGTAAAGTATCGATTATCTAACAGTCGCTTTATCTGAGAAAAGCGTTTCTTAGTTTTAGTTAGCTTTGCCTATAATTAATTTACTAAGGATATTGTCAGATATTAAACTATCAATAATTGTTATTAAACAACTATTACCTTTTAAATTTTAAACATTTTCTGGCAATCCAAGACATTGCCAGCATAGATAATGTTAGTAATCCTTACTCTTATATTCTTTGTATTATATAAAGCTTAACTTTTCACAATCAAACAAATAGACTTTACTTTCCTGCCGTTTAAAAATATATTATATAACCTTTTAGTTTTTTTTCTGACTAGGACAAGAATTGCGCAGCATGTCTGAATGAATTATCTCCATAACATAATCAATTTAACACATCGACTATAAAAAGGGGAAATGCTCTCCAGTTGACACAACAATGAAGTCTCTGGTATTGCTACAACTCGTCATCCTTTCCCTAGTTGGAATGGCCCCAGCTCAAAGGGGAAGGAGACCGTTTGAGGTTTGGATTCGACCAGATACAAACGCTGGTCGAGATTCTTGCTACCCATATTGCCCACCACAATAGTGAGCAACTGTAAAAGAAAGCAATATTTTTTTGTAACTTTTTGAAATAAAGTTTTATCATATATTGCTGACATCTACTAAAAATGCCTTATTTAATTTGTAATACATTTTTTGTAACAAAAACTATAAGGGTGCGAACCAAAATTCGATTTAAAGACCATTATTTCGAATATAATGTTATATGGCCCCAAATTGGCCGAAACTTCACCGACAGATGGCTCTATACAAAGTACAAACGGCATTCTCTGTTGCTAGCATATGAATTTAAAAAATGGTTAACAAGCTTAAGCGTATATAATAGTGACAATAATCAATTAAAGCATTCCTTCCTCCTTTGGTTAAAATGATCTAAAATTGTAATGGAAAAAAAGTCCTATTTCGATTTCAAAAAGAATATATAATGTGATTAGACCATAAAATTTCACATTAATAGCAATTGACTCTATTTTGCCTTCGGTTCAAGATGTTTAACCTTATAACTTTAGGGGCTAGAAAGGGACTTATTCCATTTGTCGCAGTAGTATATCTAATTTAATTATTTACTTAGCATAATCCAATAAACATTTCAGCTATAAAATAGGGTAACCCTTCTCCTGTTGGCAAAACAATGAAGTCTCTCGTATTGCTACTACTTGTCATCCTTTGCCTGGTTGGAATGGCTCCAGCTCAGAGGAAGAAGAGGGACTTGGAAATTTGGATTCGACCAGATCAGAACCAAGGTCAAGGTCAAGGTCAAGGTCAACAGAGTTGCTATCCATATTGCTATAAATAATTTATCGATGTGTCTATATGGAAGCGTTGCCAACAACAATTAAATAAAAAGTTCATATAGAAAGGCAATGTTTTTTGTTTTTTTTTAATTGTTTGTAAATTTAAGAGCTGTCGCAGAAGTATATCTAATTAAATTATTTACTAACCATTCTCCAAATAATCATTTCAGCCATAAAAAAGGAGCATTACTCTCCTGTCGGCGAAACAATGAAGTCTCTGGTATTGCTACTACTCGTCATTCTTTGCCTGGTTGGAATGGCCCCAGCTCAGAGGAAGAAGAGGGACTTGGAAATTTGGATTCGACCAGATCAAAACCCAAAAAACAACCAAGTTATAGGCCTAGGTAAACCAATTTGTTATCCATATTGCTTTCAATAATATACCGATGTGTCTATATGCAAACTTTGCAAGCAATAATAAAAAGCAATGATTTTTTGTTTTTTTAATTTTAGTTAGATTTTATTATTTATAAATTTAAGAGCTAGAAAGGGACTTGTCTCTTCACCGCAAAAGTATATCTAATTAAATTATTTACTTACTATAATCCAATAAAGATTTCAGCTATAAAACAGGGGAACTACTCTCCATTTGGCCAAACAATGAAGTCTCTGACATTTCTACTACTCGTCATTCTTTACCTGGTTGGAATGGCCCCGGCCCAAAGGAGGAAGAGAGCCTTAGAAATGTGGAATCTACCTAAACGAAATCCAAGCCGCCCAGTCCAAACTCAACCAGGTTGTTATTGTATATGTGTATTATGGGTCTATATTATTAGTAGTTTCATATAGAAAGGCACTGCTTTTTGTTTCCTTTTTTTTTAATTTTTGTTAGATTTAAATATGAAAGCGTTTAAAAAAAGAAGTATTCTCAATGATCATAACCTTTGTTAGTACTATTTATATTTTAATATTGTTGCTCATGATAAAAACTAACTATAAAATCTATCTGGATCTGCACAATATATACTTTTTACAACACTTTCCTGACCAAGTTTTAGTATGCTGCAGAATCGCAAACTTTCGAGAAAAGTTGTCTGTGCATTCGAAGAATAAGTTGCTGCCACGCCCAGTTATAGTCTCATTATCTTGGCATGTAATTCCCAGCCCTGCCCCTCGATTCTGCGTATATTCCCACATGTGTGTCAGTTTTGTCGCTCGCGGACAATGGCAGAAGTTTCTGTTTCGGCTCGATAAAGTATCTGTTAGATACAATTTACAATATTTTCCGCTCCGCTTCGTCCTGCTCTCCAAGTGAAAGTTTCGGCAGAGCAAAGTATGGCTTTAATGATAATGACTTTAGCTTCGGCAAAAAGTAGCGCAAAGTTTAGAATACGCCAACGCAACGCTTTTGGGGATTTTGCTGGAGAACTCCAAGTGGTTCCAAGAACTTTTCTCCCTCACCCATTCAAACGCGAAATGGAACGAGTTCGTATTGGTTGGTGGGTGGGTGGTTTAGTTGCCTGCTTGCCGGGTGTGTGTTAACTTTTCCTACGTGTTGGCCATATGAAACTGATAAGGAATGGAGGGAAAATCAGCAGCAGCAGGAGCAGGAGAAGGACCCGGTAAGTGGGACAAGGCCAGGCTGTCTATTATGGAATTTGAATGGGATGTAATTTGATATCAATGATGCTGTAGTTCCTGTAGTTGCAGAGCTTTAGTTAAGCCTGAAACTATACTAACTTTAGGGCCTGCAGATCGTGTACTAGCATTGCCAGCGATTTACTTTTATCACAATCGCTGCAACAACTTCGGACAATGTCGGCGATTTATTGCATCAGCTTCGACTAACAACAACACGGCAACGACCGGCAGACAGGCAGACACTTGGTTACGTTGTAATCGGCCAGAGCTGCAGATACAGATACCCGGCCAACAACAACAAACAAGCATCCTCAGCAGCCTGTAGCTACCAAAAACTCAATTGCCCGCTCTCGTTCCCGTTCGCTTTTTCAATCCCGCTCGATCCCGATTCCTGTATCTCATCAACGCGGCTAATCTGCACTGTGCCAAAAGTTAATGAAATTTGGTCAGAAGTTAGTAGGTGTTGCATTCCATATCATTGCTTTTTTTATAGAAACTTAAAATTGATTTCCTAATCCGTGAAACTGTAGCGATTTTACATTTTAAAATCTTTTAATCTGTTATCTGTTTGTAAAACTAAACTTATTTCCCCTCAGTGTAACTGCAGTTTCTGTTGGCCTGTTGCTGTTGTCAACTTCTTTGTTGTCGTCGTCGTCATCTCCTCCTCATCAACATCAGTAGACCGCGGCAAAAGTCTTCTCCCAGCATCGGCCGAAAGTTTCGACGGCAGTCCCAGGCTGTTAAGAGTTCAACTCGTGATGTTTAAGTGGTTTAAGCCAAGGTAACGATTTCCTCATTGGTCTACAATTCTCTAGGTTTTGCTGTTGTTGCCGGCGACATTCTGTCATGCCACGATCACGAACCATTCGTAACACATTTGTTGCAATTTTCGTCGCTATTTGTTAAGGTTCAGTAGAGGTTGCAACTTGCAACCAAAAGGGACACTCTTCTCTGGCTTGCTTTGATCTTGTAAAATATGTACTAAACGGCAGGCTAAATCGATTGATTGTAAGTTGCATCAGCAGCAGAACACAAGTTATGGCAGGGAATACTCCATTAGATAGTGGTGTAAGTTGGGAGTTTATAAAGAACTTGATAGATGGTCAAATATTGGATTTATTTCTATACTTTTTATTAAGATTAATAATAACAAAAGTGATTATTTATCTATGGGATCTGGGAGTGGTAGTAAAGTGGCCAGAGTCACCAAAAGCGGTGAGTTTCTGACTCTCTGCTTATAAATTATACTAAGTTGCTCAATTGTAGCTTAAGAAAAAGGACGGACACTCTGATCAATCGGCTTGACTTGAGACGTGTATTTGGCTAAACTTAAGTAAACAATTAAAGCCAGTGTTATAACCTCTTCATAATCATATCCTAAGTTATAAATTTAATGAATACTAGATTTAATCCCTTTTCATCTCTTCACAATGCTAAATCGCTTACGAATGGTGTTACTGACCGCCTACTTAAACGGTTATCCGATTTGCACTCGCATTAAATTTGCTTCCGTTAGAGGAGGAGCAACTTCCGCTTTAGACAGACAGAAGAGAGAGAGATGCAAGGGGAGCTGGTGGGGCAAACAGGTGTAAACTGTGACGCCGCCAACGGGCGACACATTTGGCAGCTATTCAAGTGTGATAACAACAATGTGCCAAGCCCAATAGAATGAGACAGGGCGAAGGATAACAAAGGGCGAGTAAGAGAGATGGAATGTGTGAGAGTAAATCAAATTGAATAATTGTTACATGCTGAGCAAGGGAGATGGGCAGATTGCAAGAAAGAGACAGCTGGTTGGAACATATATGAACGAGGAGCAGCATCAAAAACAAACGCAGCCTAACAAGCCTAGGCAACAATAACAATAACACTGAATGGACATCGGCGTTCGCCGTCCTCTTCGCACTACCCATTTGTCGGTTCAATCGCCCCTTGCACTGAAAACAATTTTTAACATTAAATTTGCAATCTGAAAACTATTCATATGTAGAGCTTAAAAAGCGCTAATAGTTCGGTAATTATAATTATGATTTTTCCATTATACATTATCCTATATATACTATCTTATCGAAGGGTAAACATTTCTTATCCACCAATTTCATATCCAAAGAAAGAAATCCTTTTCCCAGTGCTTCATTCCGCTGCGATGAGAAGCGCTGCGATGCGACTTCAATTCAATCAATTGAACGTGCCACGAATGGTTAGCAATAACAAAATACACTCTAGTGGGCTGAGGGGGTGGCGGCAACGGCAAAGGGCAATGGGCGGGAACAAGGACCAAGGACCAGGACAACAGCGAGTCAAGAGAGAGCAGACCAACTGGCGTGTGAAATTGACAATGCAGCTGCAAAAGAGAGGACCCGCTGGGTGGGAGGCAGCTGGGATCAATGGGCACTGTGGAAATTTATAACGTATACTTTATAGGGAAAATAATCGAATTTTCGTGATTTTCTTTAACGACATAATTCAGGTAAAGTTTTAAAGTGAAATAACTATATTTTTGTATTTTTTTTATTTTTTAAAACAAATATAAATCTTATAGAAATTTCGTTACAGTGTAGTAAAAATATTTTTGCACGCGACAAACGACCAACGTGCGGGATTAAGAGCCAGGCACCAGGCTCACCTGACACTCACCATCGACCATGGTCCGGTCCTACTTCATGAAAATGTCCTGTCCACCGTCCCATGTCGACGTGTCTCATTGATTGACTAGGACACACACACACACACACACATACATACACATCAACAGCCGACATTTTTGCATAAAACTGAGCTGGGAAAATCAAGCAAATAAAACTTATTTAGGTTTCAGTGGGGCAGACAAGGGGGAACAGGCCAGTGATTTTCAATATTTGCAACGAGCTTACCTGGCCCAAGCCCATGTGCCATAAGAGGTGTTGATATGTTTATAGAGTGCCTAATGGGCGGCGGGTATTGCTGGGAAAATGGTGTACTATATGCCGTGAATGGTTTCGATGTGCGTGCAATTTGCACAAATTGCCGACAGACCGCATCGAGGATGCGAGACAAGTTTGTGGTGGGATTTACCTGGTTATCAATTAAACAATTAGCGGACCATTATTTGAATAGGCTCTGAGGGAAGTGCTACTCAGATACCCTGTTCCGGCACAGAATCACAGCTCTCCCACGCATTCGTTTGTCAAATAAACATTTCTCAACCCAACACCATTGTTGCTTCCCGGACTGTCATTTACCGTTGGCTCTCAGTTTGAAAAACTCTGCAGTCTCTGATTGCCACGCCCACAAAAGATGCAATCAAGCGCTTACCTCGAAACATCTCAAAGATGCACCTCTTTTTTTATAGTGATGAGAAGGTACCGTTAGTCGCACCTAAACAAGAACTGTGATTATTATTTTAAGTCATTCTAAACCTTTCGCTCCCTTCTTCTTATATACCTTTCTCTCTGTTGTTAAATAATAGTTAGTTTACCTAAGATATTATTTTTTGTTATATTATTAATCATTTTTTAACTGTTAGAACTTTGTTCTTGGGATAACTTAACCCCTAAACAGCAAATAGTATTTACCAAGAGAATAGAAGACCTTCCCAGCACTGCGCTCAAGTGCATACATGCCAGACCAAATTACAAGGGATTCCCAGAGCAGCAGAGAAGTGAAGACGAGGCGCGGTTTTTTAAATTAAAAACTAAAATCGATTGACATTCAATTTGAGCAGGCAGCTCCCTTCTCGCCTGCCCTCGACTAAAGTCAGGTTTTCCCTGCCCGTTCGTCGTATCTCAAGTCAACATTTGTCGCTATAAATTTGCCAGTGCCCAAGTTTTGCACATTTCCTTG